AGGAGCTTGGGAGGCCTCTGTCAGGGAATATTTGGAAGGATCCTGTATAGGTTGGACAGAGAAGGAGGGAGGATGAGAGAGCCATGGCAGGAGAACTGAAAGGGGGCTTAAGGAGATGAAAATTTGAAATAGGTGCTGGTCATTGGAAAGAGAAGGCAAATGCAAGAGTCTGTGGGGTTTCTGTTCTGTTTTCTTTGTTTGTTTTTGTTGTTTTAGATTTAAAAAAAAATCCTTCCTATCCTTTATGGAAGATTCTTTCAAAAATGGCATTTGATGAGTCATGTCTCTGTATTCATGTTCTTGCATAGTCCTTTCTCACAATGCCTCTGAACTTGACCATGTACCTTATGTCAGCCTATGAGGCATTGGTAATTATGATGCAAGGAGAGGCATAAAGAATGCTTTGTGTGGCCGGGCGGTGGTGGCACATGCCTTTAATCTCAGCACTCGGGAGGTAGAGCCAGAGGGATCTCTGTGAGTTCGAGGCCAGCCTGGTCTACAGAGTGAGATCCAGATGGTTTGGTCAGCAGCTGGACCCAACAGATATAGACATGCATGTAAGGTCATCTCAGAGTGTCCAGCACTAGTGGATCTGCCAGGTGGACAAAACTACAAGAGCAGCCACCAAATAGCTGCTTAGCCAATCCTGACATAACTTCATGACCCTTAAAAAATATTTTTTGAGACAGGGTCTATGTAGCCCAGGTTGGTTTTGAACTCTCCACCTTCCTGCTTCAGACTCCTGAGTGCTGGGGTTGCTGGTGAGCACTACCTAATGCCTGGCTCTTCATTGTTAGATTGCATTTATTTATTATTATTATTACTTTATGTGTGTGTGCACACCCGCCATGTCCTGTGTGTGGAGATCAGAGAACAACTTTGGGAAGTGGCTTCTCTCCTTTCACCTTTATGTGGGCTCCAGGGCTTGAACTCAGCCAGCCAGACGTGCACGGCCAGTGCTTACCTACTGAGCCATCTCTCAGGCCTTCTTCAGTTCTTTTTTTGTTTGTTTGGTTTTTGTTTGTTTGTTTGTTTTGTTTTGTTTTTCAAGACAGGGTATCTCTGTGTAGTTTTGGTGCCTGTCCTGGATCTCACTCTGTAGCCCAGGCTGGCCTTGAACTCACAGAGATCCACCTGTCTCTGCCTCCCAAGTGCTGGGATTAAAGGTGTGTGCCACCACCGCCAGGCTTAGTTCTTTAAACTGGGTTTTAAATTTTGTTATAAGTGTATGTTATCTGTAGCTGTGAGAAATAACAGATATCCTGCATATTCTATACTCCATTTCCCTCTCTGGCTTCATCATGCAAAACTATAGTATAATATCACAACTAGGCTATTGCTGTTAGTAGATGACATGGGTCAGATTTCTCCATTTGCCTTGTGCCCACCCTTTTATCGTACGACAGTTCAACTAGCACATGGTGATGATGTTGGTGATTTGAAAGGTTTACTCAATTTTATTTATAATTTTGAAGAATCAACTTTCAGTTTCATTGTCTATTGTTTCCTAGTCTAGTTTCTGTTGCTGGGATAAAAACCCTAACCAAAGGCAGCCTGGGCCAGGAAAGGATTTCCTTAACTTACAGGTCCATCAACAAGAGAAGCCAAGGAGACACCTGGAGGCAGGAACTGAAGAAGGAACCGTGGAGGAATGCTGCTTCCCTGGCTTGCTTTCTTATACAGCCTAAGCCCACCTGCCCACAGACGGCATTGTCCACAGTGGGCTGGGTCCTCCCACATCAATCAACAATCGAGAAAATGCCCCACAGACACGTGCACAGGCCGATCTGATGGAGGCAATTCCTCAATTGAGATCCCCTCTCCTATATATGGGGAGGTTTGTGTCAAGTTGACCAAAAAAATAAATAAATAAAAAAAATAAAAAAATCATGTGCATACACACACACACACACACACACACACTCACACTCACACCCCTTGTTGATGTTCATGTTTTTACTGGTTCCTGTCCTTATTTGTAGCTCCGATTCTCTGCTTCCTTTAGATGTATTTTGCTTTTCTGGAGGCACAAACTCAAGATTCTGGATTTGCTTTCTTCATTTCTAATGTAAGTACTTACTTCTGTGAACTCCCCACTCAGCACTGTAGTAATTGCACCCTACTGTTAATTTTCATTTTCTTCTGTCCTCTTTCTTCCCTTTGAGAATTTGTCCTTGGTTTGTGGGTTACCAGTATCTTGTTTCTTTAGGAGTGGGCTGTCAAATTTCCAATGTTTGAAGATAATCTGATGTCTTCTGTTGGTTCCCAGCTTGACTCCATGATGGAGGCTGTTTAGAAAGTCGTGCTGGGCTTTGAGGATGAAAAAAGTCCAGTTATCAAGGGAGATGGCTGCTGGTCATGGTCATGGCTGAGGCTGTGGAGCTTGGGTTGAAAAGACTATGGAAGTGTTCATTGTGAAACAAAGGGGTCCCTCACACTTCCACTGCACCGTGTAGCTTATAAAGAGTTTGGGGCACTATTTGTAAGCATATACACTGAACATTCATTGATCTGTAGATGCCTCATGAAGCCTGAGACAAAGCAATGGCCCACTAGTTTGAAAACTTAGACCCCTGGATGCTGAGTGACTTGCACAGTGAGAGGACCAAATCTCAAACCTAGGCCTTCTTGTCTCCATATTCCAATGCTATATTAGGTCATACCTCCTTCCTGGGTTTAGACAGTGGAAGCTGAGGGAAGAGGAGGAGGTAGACAGAGGAAACTATGATTAAATGAGGGGCTTGGTGGGGGTCATTTATTTTAGTGGATGGGCTGCATGCACAGGTGTTTGTTTATTTGTTTGTTTCTTTGTTTTAAGAAACAGACCTGTAACTGCACAGTAGAAAATGAAGCAGGAAACCCAGCAAGCTGGGGATGTTGGATGGGAGGCAGAGGCCAAGGCAGGCACTATCGCATCCTTGCTACCAGGGATAATAGCACACTTTTCACTAAAATGTTCCCTCACAGCTCCCATAGCACCTTGCAGTGGGCACTGGAGATCTCCTGGGAGGACTTGTGAAGGCAACTGGAAGACTCCCCTGGTTTAACATGCACGAATTACAGTCTCATGAGCTAGCCCAGGGAGTTCCAGGCATCTGACAGTAGGCTCCGGGGCTGAAGGAAAGCAGGGAGTGGCCAGGGATGCTAAGTCTGTGTCTTCTGCGAATGCACCACCCACAGAGATGACATGTGCAAAGATTTGCTTGGAATGATTTGAGAGTTCTTGGCAAAAGCACTATCACTGGTGCACAGCTCCCAGGGACTTGAGGCTAAAGCACTGAGAGAATGAGGCCAACGTGTTTCACACACTCGGGTGGACCTTCCCTGGGCCACAAGCGTACCTTCCAAGAGAATGGTTTATACCAATGAGACCTTACTGACAAGGATGAGTTCTCCCATGCATAGGGAAGATGTTTTCCACATGGGAGAAAGCAGGGTCTGAGAGTTGGATGCTATAAATAACTGTGGGGGGTGGGGAAGGAAAAGGAAAGCAATAAACAGGTGTGCGGAGTCCAGATGTGGCAGAAGAGAAGCCTCAATGTTTATTGGGGTCTACACAACCCTCCAACATGCTAATGAGGTTGATGTGACCTGCTTCATTTCACTTCTACTAAAGTATTTTGAGGTTATTGCGTTCTGACATTTTATACATAAACCCTTTCCAGACACCTCTAAAGCACGAGGACATGTTTCTACATCTCGTTTGGTAAGTAGAAATGGGTGAGCACTGTGTTTTATGGATAGAGTGGGCTAGGCATGGTGAAGGTGAGGTGTAGTGACCTTCAAACCATGTTGCCTTATGTGTCTGTGGTGTGATTAAGTCCACAATGCAGTGGTAGTACAGAAAGGAACCCCTCCCAATGGTTCAGGGAGGTGAAGAGAAGTATAGAAGGAATGAATGGTCTGGAAAGGTCTGCCTTAGGGAAGGACTCTTAAAGGGGAAGTAGTTGCATTTAGGAAGGCCATTAGGAACAAAGGGCAGCATCCCAGACCAGGGAGTTAAGCATGGACCTGAGACCATCTTAAAAACTGTTAGTTCTCCATGCTTCTTGAAGCAGACACAGTGAGAACTCAACCATACTATCTTAAACCATGCTGGCCATGGGGGTGGCATGTGGCAGAGGCCACCACTGACTGCCTCTGTTTCTCGTGTGTTTATTTAATTACAAAGGTGATGTACACTTTCATATTAGAGTATCTGTCCCTTAACTTTTTCCTTTTACTGAAATAATAAGATAAACAAAAATTAACACATCAGAATTGGACAAAACAAACAGAAGGAAAAGAGCCCAGGAGAAGGCTCAAGAAAAAGAGACCCACTCATTTCCATGCACAAGAATCTCATAAAGAAAATAAACTGGAAGACATAAAACATAATGCAAAGGACCTATAAGGTTAAAAAGAAGGGGGGGGAGAATTAATATATAACTAAAATAAAATAAAAACAGTAAGACAAAATTAAAAAAAAAAGAGCCCTGACCCATTATGAGACAAGTTATCTCACAGTGCTGTTGAGTTCTTTTTCTGCTGGCATCTACTGCTGCGCATGCAGCCTACACTTTAGTTTGTTTCCCCAGTGAGACTCCCTTGGAAGAAATTCAATTTTCCGTTGTAAGTGGTTACCAATTGGAGATTACTTCCGGGTTAGGGATGGGGCATGTGTTCACTTCTCCTTTCAGCTCTAGGACCCCTCCGGGGGCAGATCCCTGAAGGCCCTGTGCATGCCGCCTTGGTCTCTGAGTTCATGTGTGCATGTTCATGTTGATCTTGAAGGCCTTGTTTTCTTGGTGTCCCTCATCCCCTCTGGCTCTTACACTCTTTCTGTCTCCTCTTCCACTACCCCCTCAGTTTTTATGTGTGTGACTATAACCTCATGATTTTGCTGTCTTCATAACAAAATTAGCTTAGAATTGGATTGCTTGACACTTTATTCCCATTTCATCACCTCCCAGTTCAAAATGCAGCAAGTACCTGTTAGAGCGAGAAATCCACAGAGTCTATTTAATGAGCAAAGGAATTTATTAGGGGGCAACTCACTATAGCACAGCATTTACCATAGGGTCCGGGAAAGCCGAGCTATGTCCCACACTGATCTTCTTCCTGGTCCAAGATCTGCCTGGTCAGTCCCAACATCCAAACCACAAGGGAGCAAAGAGAGCTCTGCATATCTGCATCCTAGGTCTTAAGGGTCCCTCCCCCTCCAAGCAGCCATGCCCCGGGGGCATGTACTTCAAGGTCATAGGCAGATGTAACAGTTACCTGCTGCCTCACTAAGGGTGGTGCTTCAAGGTCATAGCTAGAACAGCTACCCTCTACAACCTGTTGAGCCATTCTTGCCTGGCCAGAAGATGTATGTTTTTTTAGACAATTTCATCAAAATTTCTTTGAGCTTTTTAGGGTTTTCTTTTTTAAAAGCAATTCTTAGAAAGATTTCCCCATTCCAAGACATCCCTCTCTCCCCATATGTGTATGTATGCTCTTCTCTCTCTCTCTCTCTCGGCTTACATATATATATATATATATATATATATATATATATATATATATATATATATATATATATATCTCACACTTTTATGATTTAGATTTTTTACCCTGAACCCATCTAGAATACATTTTGATATAAGAAGTAAGATGGGGAACTCATCTTTTTATTTTGACTCTCCTTCTCCCAAAGTAGGGAGTCCATCATTCCAAAACCACTGCTGACAGCTGTCTTTGTCTTACATTTTCTTTTCTTCTTCCTGTGTTGGTGATGAACTGTTATAGAATATTATTTTAAGGTGTGTTACTTTTGTTTATGTTGCATTTGTTTAACTCTGTGAAGCCGTGTTACTGTGCCTGTCTAAGACACCTGATGGTTTAATGAAGAACTGAATGGCCAATAGCATGGCAGGAGAAAGGATAGGTGGGGCTGGCAGGCAGAGAGAACATATAGAAGGAGAAATCTGAGAGGAGAAGTAGCCAGAGATGGAGGAGGACATCGGGGCCAGCCACCCAGCTACACAGCAAGCCACGGAGTAAGAGTAAGATTTACAGAAGTAAGAATGGGAAAAGCCCAAAGACAAAAGGCAGATGGTAAGTTAAGGAAAGCTGGCAAGAAACAAGCCAAGCTAAGGCTGGGCATTTATAATTAATAAGCCTCCATGTGTGATTTATTTGGGAGCTGGATTGTGGGCCCCACAAAAAATCTAAAAAACCAACAACGATGAACCTAGGACCATATGCATGTTATGTAAGTGGTCTACACAAAGCTACATCCCCAGCCATGCCTAATTTGAAATGCCACCTTCATCATGTATTTAATCTGCATATCTGCTTATCTTAGTTAGGGTTTCTACTGCTGTGAAGAGACACCATGACCACGACAACTCTAATAAAGAAAATATTTAATTGAGGTGGCAGCTTACAGTTCAGTTACAGTCCGTTATCATCATGGCAGGGAGCATGGCGGCTTATAGGCAGACATGGTGCTGGCTACATCTTGATCAGAAGGCAACAGAAAGTGGACTGTCTCACTGGGTGTGGCTTGAGCATATAGGAGACCTCAAAGTCAGCCTCCACAGTGACATACTTCCTCTAACAAGACCACACGAACTCCAACAAAGCCACACCTCCTAATAGTGCCACTCCCTATGGGGGCCATTTTCTTCCAAACCACCACACTGCTTATACCTAGTTATGGACTCAACCCTTTTCTTTGATGTGTCTATTGTTTCATTGGTACTGCTTCAATTACTAGACAGAAAATGTTTTCCTTTTTGATAAGGCTTGTCTTTTAAATTGCCTGGCCATTCATGCATGCTTTTCTTTTTAAAACAACTTTCACTGTGGCATAGAGAGGCACAGGTAGCTTGAAACATGGATGTATTCTGCACTCTTCTACTCCACCCTGTAGCTGCCCACAACCCCTCTCTTAGAATAGTCTATTCTACTGTATTTTGGACTTCAGTGATTTGGGGGTACACCATATTTTTAACTTTTGATGCATCTGGTATCACCTATTCTATGATTAATTTTTATTAAATCAGCCTTTTACATTTTAAGTACTTATATTAAACTAACCCAAAGTTATGTAAAACCATGAATTGCATGTAGTATTTGTATTTTCCTAGCATATTGAACAGAATAGGTTAGCAACAAAAGAAACATCGTCTATGTGTTTATTCAGATTGTGTGCTACCAGCACCCTGAGAAAACTGGTCAGTACCAACTGCTCTCAGCAGCTCTATAGATGGAATCCTTCCCTTAGCAGGCACCCCTGGGCTGACGAATCTTATATCTCAAGGAAGATTCTGGTTGTACAGGTGGGTTCAGCCTGTGAGAATTACTGAGAATTCACATATAGGATGTATGCACTTTTGTGTGTAACTGTGATCCAATACAACATTAAAAAAAAATTACAAGTTTAAAAAGAATTGCTGTTTTTGTACTGTTTTACTGATAATATAATCAGTCACATGTTCCCTAAAAGAAATCATTGAGGCTTGGGTATAACTCAGTAGAGGATGCAGGCTGAGCAACTGTGGGTTCCCAGGTTTCAATCCTGAGCATGAGTCATCTGGAGACACAGGCCAATAACCCGAGCACAGGCCATGAACCTCAGATTCAGCTAGCAGTTCTCATCTTCAGGATTTGATGTTTCTGGAACAAAGTGACCCTCACAAAGCTCTGTGGTTCTGGAAAACATCACAGATGATATCGTAAGTCCCCTCACAATGTTCATGGGATGATAAGATGTCATGAACTTACCCTCAGTGCTGAAATGAGGAATACTGCCAAAGGCCTGGGCTGCAGTATTCTTACCTTAGTCTTTATTAAAGGTTCCCAGAGATAATGGAAAATGCCTCTCTATCCTCACAGAAATCAAATTAAGGTGCAAGACCACAGGGAATCAAATGTCTTGTACTGGCCTGTCACAAACACTTACTCAGATCTAAGCGAACACACACCATACTCGGTGCTGCCCCAGGGCAACCCTGGCTTTTACTCTCCCACATTCTCCACTGTCAGGGGCTTCCTCTCACCAAACACCTCCAGTACTGATCTCAGTGAAGCTCAGAAATTCTCTGATATTAAAATCTCCCTTCCAAATAGAAGCCACTACTTCCCAACACAAAGATTCAAATAGCTTTTTTGCTGTCCTTTAAAAACAAGCATAGAATAACCCAGATTCCCTCCGTTGACAGCCATGGAGACGAATTGTGAGTATCCCTGCAGCTGGATAATTTTCACCCTTCTTCAAGGGTGGCGACTGGTATGTTTCATGTTAAAACAATAAAATCAGCCTTCACATCTAACCTGCAGGTTTGGGTTTGAAATTGCACCAGTTTCATGATTATTGGAAGGACTGTTGAACAGGAGGGAGCATTAGATGATGCCCGTGAGAGGGAAAGCTGAGCCCCATTTGTGAGGACCTACCAAGGTCCTATTCACGTGATTTCCTACCGTGTGGAACCCCCTCCACATGTGCCTTGACATTTCTATGTAGAAGTCTCTCACCTCAGACCACCCCTAAACCGGAAGCATGCTCACACCAGTACTTCTTTTTAGGTTTCCTTCCGTTCAAGAGTCCCCAAGAGACTCTCCAATGTACTGACTTTTAGTGTGTACTTGTTGGCTGCCCCATTTGCATAATCCACTTTCTAAAAAGCTTTGGAGTCTCATTCCAATTAAACTTCACCTCGAGTTTCTCAAAGAATCTAACTGCACAGTGTTGCCAGCTTTTGCTATTCCTCCAAATGAGGGAAATAAGCCTTTCTACTGATGTAATTTGCTTGAAGAACTCTGTGAGGCTTCCAATTACTGTTTCAGAGTTCCTGGTGCCAGCTGACGTCATTCTCAAACTGGGGCTCAGGACGCAACCCGCAGAGTGGAGCATCTGCCAGTGCAAGCCCGAACTAGCTATTTACAGAGCTCCCCGTCAGGCTGTGCACCTGCCTGGAGGACAGGCACAGGTGACAGCAGAGCCCTGCTCTGGGCAAGCATGTGCACTGCAGCTCGGGGTGCTGGAGGTAAGAACAGGGCAGGAATGAGGTAACACTTCAGAGGATGACAGAGGGTGCTGGCGGTGGACGGAGTGCAGAAGTAACACGGAGAAGGAAAAGCTGCCTGGTAAAGCATTCCTTATTCCGTTTAAGCACAAATCAGCAAGGTCACACAGTGCCACCCTTACATGTCAGACCCGTGCTCCCACATCCTGAGTGGATGGTCCAGCGCTGTCTCCTCATCTTCTACCCTGCAATCTAGTGGAGATGAAAAAGCCCCTTTGTATGTGAATTTTAGCTTTGTGGATGGTCCAAATGTTCCTTCCCCACTGTCAATATAGACAGGGAATTCTGGTTTTGGAGAGGAGCCAAGGTATGATTAAGACATAACATGGAAGTGTTTTTATGTCTGTACATTGCTTCAGGCCAATCACTTGTCCCCATTTACAACTCTGCATAATTGTTACCCTTGATTCAGCACATAAATGTGTATCCTCAAAACACTCATCTCCCAGAAGCCTGTGCTCTGAGGCTTGTTCTCCCAGGAGCAGACTGGTGCAGATATAAAGGTTTATTAAGAAAAGACCCCAGAGGCACAGGAGGTGAGTGGGAGGAGGGATGAGCCAAGCGAGGAAGTGATTGCCTGCTGAAGTCCCAGCCCTAGCCTGGACCTCAGGAGAGCACTCTGGAACACAGACTGAGGCAAGGAAGCTGGGCCGGGACTCAACCCTAGTTGATTCAGTAGCAGCCTTGGCCAAGGTGAGTGGTAGGATGGTACATCTATAGGTTTACTGGCTCCATCACCAGGTTGCTGGTGTCAGCCTCTATCTGCAAAGCTTATAGCTAATAGCTGGAAACAGGAAGCTGCCAGGAGACCCCCTCAGGGACTCTGAGTGCCAAGTTACAGCATTGCCCCTCCAGCCTTGCCGACTTTCACACAAGCACCAGCTATGAGTCTTTCATGATGGTCTGCTTCAAGAGGAAATGAATGACCTCTCTTGACAGTCCTGGGGTGGGCTCTTCGTCTTCCACCGAGCTGTCTTCTTGCTCCAGAGGGTAGAAGTGGGTTTCCCTGGAATGCCGCTGTAAGACAGAGCAGCCATCCCGGTTGAAGATAACTCGGGCCATCTGGAAACTGCGGAGAGCATACTTTTGGCTCTCCTGGCCCTCGAGTTCAGAGATTGTCTGAGACAGGCACTGACACACAGGTGCAGAGAGCTGATCCCCAGAGCCTGGCAGTGGATGGGCAAAGGCTTCATAGAATCTGTCCAGCGATTTCCGAAGTCCATCCTCCTCTTCCCCGGTCTCCAACTGGCCTTTCACAGAAGGATCAAGCCGGAAGTTCTCAGAGTCCCAGGAGCCCTTTTGCTCAGTGCTTAGAGAACTGCTATCTGCAAGACAAAACACATCCCAGTGCTCAAACAGGCAGTCAAAGCTACTGGAAACTGGGCTGGTGAGGTGGCTCAGTGGGTAAAGGTCTTTGCTGCACCAACCTAATGACCTAAGGTGGATCTCCAGAACCAAAGTGAAGGCGGAACGGGAGAGCTGACTTCTGCAAGAAGGAGGACAGAACTGGTCTTTGTACATGTTAGGCAAGCACTATACCAACCAAGCCACATCCCTAGCCCTCAGGAATTATTTGGGAGTAAACTCTAACCTGATGCCTATCATTCCTAATTATCCCACAAACTGAGACAATCTCCTCCATGACAAAATCAAGCTGTCATTATCGGCAAGTTGGCAGCCATACCTTAACAAACCATCTAAGCCACAGCCCTCGTTCATAAAGCTCCAGTTGTCCCATAATGTGCTTTGTGTCCAGTTCTAAACTTCCTGTTGCTGTCGGTTGGCTTGTCTCCTTTCTGTCTCCTGTAGTTATCAGTCTTTTCTTGGTTTGTATGAACTTGGCACTTACGAAGAACACAAGCTGGAAAGTCATCCCCCTGTGTTTCTGACATCTGGACTAGAAAGGCCAGCATCTGCCTCTCTCCCTTTTTAGCCGCCCACGAGCTTCTGCCCAGGGATGGGGTTGCTGGGAGGAACTCAGGAGGATGAAGTATTGAAGGAAGATTACTTAAAGGAGAAAAAGTTCGTTTTGGCTCAGAGTTCCAGTCTCCTGGCTCCGTTGCCATGGGCGGAGTATGACGGCAACAAGTGAGTGGCAGAGGAGGCTGCTTACCTCACCACAGCCAGGAACCAGAGAGGAGGTAGGAAGGGACCATGGCCAAGACACACTTAAAGGCATCCCCAGGCCCCACCCACTACAGCAAGTTCCACCTTCCACAGTTCCACTACCAGCCAAAAGATGATTCAAAATTTACATTTCTCTACAGATTTAACAGTTCACTGGGTCACAGCTCTCATGATCTAATTGTCTCTGGAAATGCCCTCACAGACACACCCAGAGAAGTCTTTCACTAAAGAGGTGTGCTTTACTGCTGTGGCTGACTGAGAAATGCCACACATTGAAACACTCGTCCCCAGTTGGTAGCACTGCTCCGGGAGATTATAGACCTTTAGGGGGTGGAGCCTTGCTGGGGGACAGTGAGAAAATTATCATTTTTAAATCAAAGGTAGTTAGTCTGGCAAGGACAAACTTACTGAACCCAAATCTTCCTCTTCCTCTGTGTTTCTATCAGCCAATCATAACAGATTGTGAAGTCAAGCGCCTGCCAATGGGATGGGAGGCAGTCACCACCCATGTTGTGAGGGGAGGGGAATCTCTGTAACCACCACGGCCAGCACAGTGATGATCTGTGGGACACAAAAACATAGTTCTCTGTTCAACATGACTCAGCAGCTGGTGTTGGCTCAAACTTCGAGAGTCTGACTTCAAGTCATTTGTTCTAGGCATATTTAAGCACAGTACAATTTGAAAAAAATTTCCTGGTGATAACTGACTCAATCCCATGTACGCAACAAAGCTTAAGACATGACTACATTGAAACTCTTTGTAAAGTACAAGTGACATCTTCCATAAAGATAGGTTCTGTAGATTGAGAAAATAGTCTCAAGGTAAGGGTCTGGGGGAGGGTCCAGTGTGGTCTGGCCACATAGACAGCACAAGGGTCACCAGGCTATTAACCACATCCCCAGACTTCTGCACAGAAAACAGGTTACCTATCTTTCCCTTTGAAGAGACAATCCCGTGTTTTTAACACTCCTGGTCCCCCTAGTGCTTATCTGTGGGCACAAGGACCAGCATGCCTCCTACACTATGTCAGGGATAAAGGACAGGAGCCATGCTGCCCGGGTGTGTTGCTAGCTTTAGGTTTCGATGTACCATTTTTCAAGATGAATTACACTTTCACTTTGTATGTTCCTTTGTGCAACATGGGGATTATTTATTCTTTGTCTAACAACAGGCTAGAATCTCCCCACTTCTGTTCATTCTCTCAGCTTCCTGCTCCTGCCACCATGGGCCCACCACAGTGGACTCACCCCTCTGGAACCACAGACCAAATTAAAGGCTCTGGTCTATAAGCTGCTCTTGGTCATGGCGTTTTATCATTGCAACCAAAAGGTACCCAATGTAGGTGCTTTCCTCCCTAAATTCTTCTAGGTGTAAAGATTAACTGTCCCAGAACACAAGCCTGATTTCAAATGGACATGTGTGGGAAATTATCCTGTGGGGAAGAGGTGGAGAATACTGATGAACAGTGATTCAGTCAACCACATCTTCCCACAGTGTATTATTTAAAACCTCATTTCCCAATTTTATAAGAGCCGAAATGGAAGCAAAAGTGTTGACTGTTCCAGGAACACTGGCCAGTGAGGAACCAAGCAGGCACTCAGAGTAGGACTCAACTTGGTTCGTGGAGGGTTGGGTCCAAACTAACACTTTGTAGAAATCCAGCACCAATCCAAAGCTGCTTACAGCTTTTATAGGTTGTTAGATAACAGTGTCAAAACTCCTGTTCATGGGACCATCTGAAGGTGGAAATTTCCATCACCACTTAGACACAATTGCAGGAACAAATATTGCAGGGAGTAGTTAAAACATCCCTTCTTAGCAAACAGGATCTGTGGGTTGACCAGATAGATGTAGTAATCATTTCTTAAGGCAGTTTCTTGCAAGTGTTTTGTCTTATCTACTATTCTATTGCTGTGAAGAGACACCGTGACCAAGGCAATTCTTAAAGCGTTTAGCTGGAGCTTGCTAACAGTTTTAGAGGGTGAATCTATGATCACTATGGCAGGAAGCAGACAGGCATGGTGCTGAAGCAGTAGGTGAGAGCTTTATATCCTGATCTGTAGGCAGCAGACAGAGAGAAAGACAATAGGTCTAGCATGGGCTTTTCAAATCTCAAAGCCCACCCCCTCCTCCCCAGTTACACACCTCCTCCAACAAGGCCACACCTCCTAATCCTTCCCAGTTTCACCAACTGCAGACCAAGGATTTAAATATACGTGCTTATGGGGGACCATTCTCATTCAAGCCACCATACATTTACCTTCCCAAGATAAGAATAAGGGGTGTTAAGAAGCTAGCAGAGCTCAGCACATTTAACCATTTCAGAAGTAAAACTTTAACTCATTCTATTCCTACACACTCTGACAGTTTCTAGGCAAGGATTGTTAATAGGCTGTCATTATACAGAGTAGGAATGTGATTTTGTTAGTTGCATATATAAGGTTTATTAAGATGTATGTATGTGTACATACATACATCTGGTTTTGTGTGTCAACTTGGTACAAGCTAGAGTCATCAGAGAGGAAGGAGCCTCAGTTGAGGAAACGCTTCCATGAGATTTAGCACAAGGAATTTTCTCAATTAGTGATCAGTGGGGGAGGACCTAGTCCATGGTAGGTGGTGCCATCCCTGGGCTGCTGGTCCTGAGTTTTGTAAGAAAGTAGGCTGAGTAAGCCATGGGAAGCAAGCCAGTGAGCAGCTCCCTTCCATGGCCTCTGCATCAGCTCTTGCCTCCAGGATCCTGCCCTCCTTGAGTTGCTGTCCTGACTTCCTTCAATGATGAACAGCAGTATAGAAATGTAAGCTGAACAAATCCTTTCCTCCCAAACTTGCTTTCTGGTCATGGTATTTCGGTGCAGCAATAGAAACCTTAGTTAAGACATGCATGTGCCCACAGACGGTTTTCTGATGAAGCTTGTTGGGTTTGGTCTCTCTCACTGAATCCCAGACAGTCATCCTTCTTTTCCCCTTTCACAGTGGACAGTTCTGGGGCTCCCTTGCTGTCCTTCTGAAAACTGCTGGAAAGGATGGCTCCTAGTCACTCTATCAGCATCTTGCCTGAGTCCTCTTTCTGGTTTGTCCCCCACCCCACATTAACAACACCTGCACTGGAATTTAAAGGAACTTACATTCTACCATATTAATAAAGTGAATCATAAAAAATGAATAAGCCTGAGGCTCCTTCATGCCTAGCAACCCTGCCACCCACAGTTTATACGTTTTGGGATTTGCAACAGTTCCTTTCAAAAACGAAATCACAAAGAGAGTGTGTGGATATCAAGATATTGAATCCAAATTAACATTTCACAAGGAGTATGGCTGCCTCTGGGTCAGGCGCTTTTGAAGCTAGGCAGTCTCTGTGGGTGCTTGTTGATATCTGAACGCCAAAGCTGGATGAATCATCCAGAGGGAAATGGCATATGCTGCCACCCCTCATCTTAATGATGAGCAGACGCAATGCTCAAAGGACAGAGTCCTGTAACAGGCCACCGCTGAGGACGGCAGTGAGAGCTGGAAAAAGCCAAAGAATGTGTGCACAGATAAAGCCTCACGTCAGGGCGAAGGCAACCGAATCCCACCAGTGTTCTGAATTGTAAATTGTCTGGGAAAATTATGTATTAACCCTAAGAAACTAAAAGGTTCTAGGGCTGCACAGATGGTTCAGTGGCTCGAAGAGCTTGCTGGCTAACCCCGATGGCCTGATTTTGATCCACGGATCCTGTGGTGCAAGGAGATAAGCTGCTCCCAAAAGCTATCCTCTGAACTCTGCATGCATGTACATATGTGCGTGCATGTACACACACACACACACAGACAGACAGACACACAAACACACAGACAGACACACACACACACAGACACACACACACAGACACACACACACAGAGACAGACACACAAACACACAAACACACAGATAGACAGACAGACAGACAGACAGACACACACACACACACACACACACACACACACACACACATGCATGTTTGTTCCTGTGAGAAATGGGTTTTGTTTGTTTTTTTTCAAATATAATTAGCCCAACAAGAAATCCCTGAAAAATGTAACCTTAGCTGAATGTGGTGGCAAACTGAAACCCTGTCTCAAAAGAAAAAAAATGCTCCCTCAGATGGTTTTAACTTTCATTCCAGGGGCTGAAGAGATGGCTCAGATGTGGGGATGGGGGACAAACCAGAAAGAG